TGACCCCAGGCACTGGTGGCAGAAGTGGGGGGAAGGGTAATGGTCCCCCGCTTTTGGCAGGTCCTTTCAACGGCTCATGCATGGTGGTGTCACAAATGGCCCACCCACTTTGAAAATCATCCCACCGCCGTTGATCCCAAGAGTTGAAGGGCCCAAAGCGAAGGGTCAAAGGGTGACGACGAAGTTTGTGACATCCTTCTGAAATCTGTTCCTCATTTAGCCAAGAAAGTGCTTAAAACCTGTGATCTGCAGAGAATTCATCCGTCGTCAGTAAAATACTCCCCAATAATAACTCTCCCAGCTGCACTTAATGTTGACCATCCAATGCAGAGATCGACGCGGAGGGCTGCAGTGGTCTGTGCGAGGTGAACTTTGTCAACCTGACCTGTCAGAGCGACAGCACGCGCCGTGGCAAGCGACGGACCCGCGCCCGCAACTCGCTCATCTTCGCCGACTTCGAGATAGCCGTGCGACCGGAGCCGCCCACCTGTGAGTACATGCTATCACCCCAAAACAGGGATTTCATTTCTCAGGATATTTTCCCAATTTGATTTCTTTGATGTACAGATGCTGGAATCTCATACGTGTAGGCTTACTCGTTCGGGCTTTGCTCCTTTTCAATGAAAAAGCCAAGCACAAGATGAACATAATCATCGCTATTTGGGAGATAGCTAATCCATTTCTTGTAAAAAGGTGCTGAAGTCACAATATTTATTGTTGTTACTGTGACAACCCCTCTAACGAGTGGTTTCAGAGGTGTACATCGCTTCATCCTTAAATCTCGTCTTTGCTGAAATTTCAGACAGCAGAAATTGTCCACCGTACTTTTAATTCTTCAGACAACTGCCTTTTCCTTTTCTTTCCGATTTCTTTGTGGAAGTTTTGACAATGAACTTTCAAGTGAGTTTCCATCTAAAAAAACTCACGTCATCACTCACGTTGTCACGATTTTCACCAGACAAATTGTACTCTGCAATGAACGCTAGTACTTCTGAAAAACCCATGTATTCAGTTGGATCCCTTTTCGTAAGGATTAACTTCAAGAGTCGATTCGGTACGTTAGGCAAAAGTGTATAGAATTTGTCTTAAATGCTTGGAATGTGTTGGTCCAATCCTTATTTGAGTGAAATTAAGGATCATGTATTCGCCTACTGACAACTCAAACCCAAGGAGAACTATTATAGGAGTGAGTGTGTTGTTGTCATTGAGCAGGTCAGGTGTGAGTTTATTGTTAGAGTTGAATTTGTCCCTAGTAATGAAACTCATCAGCTGGGTCTGTGTTGCCGTTCTTTGCCTACGCAGTATAAATTTGTCACTTTGTGGCAACGAAAAGTGCAGATATTGATTAATTTTTACTCGAAGGAGATCACTGTGATTCAGCTGATTCCAATTGATTAGGATAAGTTTTTTCAGCCACAAAAAAATCGATAAATTTGTTCCAGTCAGATATTCGTTTCTTTTTTCGTGTCATTCTTGTCTTGTCTTGCCGAGCTGGGTCAGATTTGGGGAGCTCACATCAGTTTCTAGGTCAAACTCAGTTCGTGATTATGTTTTGAGCCAATTTTGTCCGCTCAACTTGACCTGATGCGCAACGTTAGGTCACCGAGTAGTCATAGGTATCTAGTCCACCCACGCTGATGGTGGACTAGGCCGAGGAGCTGCTGTCAGAGGAAGAAACTCCAAGCAGTGGAGCCCCCACCCGTTTCCAGGCCCTGCCCCTTATGTCTTCGCTAAATGCCGCTGAAACCATCATGTAAGCATGGGCGGAAATCCAGGTGGGACAGGGGGACACGCCCCCCCCATGAAGTTGGCACGGGGGACACAATGTCGAATGTCCCCTCCATGTTCTAAGCAAAACAAAATACTAAAAGAATTGATGGATCGAGGGTTTTCCCTTTTTGAGTTTTTATAAATGGAAGAAGATGATAAACACGTTGTGCACTGCACAAAAACAGTGAAAATTGATGTCCCCCCCCATGATCGAGGAGAGATCTCCGCCCCTGCATGGAAGAGTGGGGTTAGCTCACTAGCCGCAGCCTGCCAAGAAGCAGAGACAAATCAGGGTGTACAGACTAAGTCTCGTTGGACTCTCCTCCTCAGCTGACTGCGACGTGGACTGCGTGACGGCCAAGACCAAGAAGAAGATGCGGAAGACAATCCGGAAGCTGAAGTACGCCATCAACAAGGAGCACCTGGTGGTGACGTTTAACGAGAACACCGAGTACCGGGTCACCCGCAAGTCGTTCCGCACTACCTCGGACGTGGAGACGGCCTGCCAGCCCGGCCACGTCATGGTCAAAAACAAATGTGGTAGGTCCTCCTCGTTTTATGTTCGTTGACGGGTTGTACTTTACTGGAGTGGGGTCTGCTCAAAAGTGCAAAGGTTTATCAGGTTTAAGGTTCGATTGTCAAAATTTACAAATTTAGTTTAGGGCTCGTTAGTCTGAAAATGAGGGGAAAAGGTTAGTTAATCTATGCATTTAGTGCACTAGTGCAAGTGTTTATTAATTTTTTTTACTTAAATGGAGGGGTTTCTGTGTAAAAGTCAAAAGGTTTATCGGGGTTAGTTAACGCTCGATTGTCAAAAAGTGCAAAACTTTCCTGTAGTTCAGGGCTCATGCATTGGGTCTGAAAATAAGGGAAAATGGATTAATCTAAGCATTTGAGGCACCAGTACAACTGCTCATTAAACTTTTTATTTTTCTCTGCAGTTGCATGCAGCGTAGGAACCTATCATGACACTTTCTCGTCTCGCTGCGCCCCCTGCCCGCCCGGCACCTACCAGGACCAAGAGGGACAGCTGGAATGCAACAAGTGTCCCCAGGCGGACAACACCGGCATTGCGGGAGGCTCGGACATCTCACACTGCGGCGGTAAGTTCACGCATTCCGTGGGGATTATGCACACGTGTCAAAACATAGAAACATTGGGGCGGGGGACACATTTGTTGTTCCCACAACTGGGCCCGGCTTTCCTAACATTATCACTTGTGAAAAGTTCCACAAATCCCCAGTCTCAGGTCAGCTCAGGGAATGGGCCTGATCGACTCTTGTTTACGAATTGTTAACTAGCTTATATAGTCAAACAAATCAATCTGATTATCATGTACGTGCCGTCATCACACACACACATCTCTGTGACTTTATACTCTTCAGTCACCGGTCCCCTGACAAACTGTGCTCCTGCCAACCTGTGGCACGTCAGATGGCCAGTTTTTGTCTGTTTTCTACTTAGTAGTTACCATAGAGCTCCAAATATATCAAATTAATAGAGCAAGTGTGCTAACTCGCTATGCAAGGTGAAGCCTTCTGGGTGCAATCTCAGTTGGGCACAAACCTGTGGAGAACTCAATATTTTGGACAACTTTGCTTAGCTATTTGCATATCTGCAAAAAGTCGGTCGGTAAATGAGCGATTCACTGTTCTGTCTTAACAATGCACAGGCATGCGCATAAGCACTGTAGCTGAAATTTGGGCTAATCATAATTTCATGTATCATACTGGTAATAAAAATTGTGTTGCATGCTACGTATGTTCTTGCACGTTATATTGTTTGGAATTTGTTCAGTCTTATATGTTCTTACAAACATGCGCACGAATTCAAAATCTTTGTGCCTACGAGGCCTCAAAATTCTCAATGGCAGGTGCTTTAGCAATTCAAAGTACCTCGATAGTGATACCCGATTTGCTGTCCCTACAGGGCAGTGCAGCCCTGGCGAGTTCTCCCTGGACGGGTTCGCACCTTGTCAGCCTTGCCCCGTCGGAACCTACCAGGCGGAGAATGGGCGGACTCATTGCATGAACTGTGGGGGCGGATTGCAAACCAGGGCGGCGGGGTCTACGTCATTCGCCGATTGCCAGGCGAGGGGTGAGTGTCATTTTTTTTTGTAAAAACTGTAGCAATATAAGAGCGTGAAAGTATGGACTTTAATTTTTGCTGGAGGCTTTTCCGACTTTACGATGCACACACAGGTAGAGCTATATCCACTGCGAGCGGAACAAAAGAGGTGTGTTCTTTTGTTACTTGCCGCTTAGGCGCGCCATGAGGGGGCGCAAGCGTGATGCGCATTTGACGTGGAGCGCGCCGAGTACACATAACCAATTTACTCCGACACGTACGGTCTTTGCGTAGACGCAGAACGCGTGCAAGAACTCGCACGCAACCACCTGTCTTTCTTTTCGCCGATTGGGGGTGCACTTCAGCTCGGGGCGGATAGCCTTGTGCGTTAGTACATTGGATTGAAGATCTCACTCATCCTTAATTTTGTAGCTCTGGGGTTCGAGTCCAGCCTGTGTAACAGGAGACGGGAATTTGCGGGGTGGCAAGTGCCCCCAGGACTCCCCTCTTGGCTACGCCACTGTTTTCTAGTCGTTGAATTTGGGACTCCATGCAAAATGCTTTGTCTACTCTTGTACGAGGGGAATGAACTCGCTTTTGGACCGAGATCAAAAGTTCGTGAAATTTTTGCTGAACCTCGATGGCAAATCCTCCAAAAAAGTATTTTAATTTGAACACAGAGAAATGCACGGCGGGGAGTTTCTACGACGTAATGCGGCACCGGTGCGCGCTCTGTCCTCAGGGGACGTACCAGTCCCAAGCCCTCATGAATTACTGCATCAAGTGCCCTGGAAACACGACCACTGATGGCGATGGAACGACCACGGCCAACGAATGCAAAGGTGAGGGATGGGGGTCATGTGATCCGATCATTACAACTGCCCAGGGAGATATGCGCATCATCACGAAAGTCCTGAATTTGCTTTGAACAATAAAATCACCACGGTGACACATTTAAGGGTCTTTCTATTTGTTACGTTTGGATGATATTTAAGAGACAAACCCAGTTCTGTCAAACATTCTTTTTTATCTTCATAAATGTTTTTATGATGCCATGAATATAACAGGGAGTTGTTTTTAATCAGTTTTTTGAGCGTAGCATTTTATACAAAATTCTGGATCCCTTTTATTAACACAAGGACAAAAGACTTTGAATATTCTGTCTCAAAAAGTTGGTACTGTTGGCATTTTCATGTACAGTTGTACTGGCAAGGAGAAAACTGGTCACTGCAGTAGATGGAGCCTAGTTCCATCAAAGACATGTGCATTTTTCCACTATTGACTATCAAAAGGATCATTCTATAAATTCAGGGTCCAGAAGAGTGACACTTTCATGCCCCTGTTACACCTGACCTGTGTCGTTTGACATGGAAATATCACTGCCAAATTGATTTCAAACTATTTCTATTTGTTTGGCAGGTAATTTGCATTAATTCATCACTCTTGGAAGTTGGAAAATGTGTTCTGAGCTTACAAAATCATATGTCAGATGTGACAGGGACACAGAAAAAAATAGGACCCCTAAGTTGTAGAATGACCCATCAATCAAACTTGGGTGTTAAGGCATGTACGCGCTAAAAACCTCCGGGTCAGATTGACCCAGAATTGGGTCCCATTCGGCGCGACCCTTTTCCGGGTCAAATTATGACCCAGAAAGGGTCAAATACAACCCAAAAGGAGGTCATTTTTGGACCCAGAAAAGGGTCACACCGAATGGGACCCAATTCTGGATCAATCTGACCTGGGAGTTTTTAGAGTCTTAGGGGAGACATGTTTGTTAACAGTGCTATAGCCTAATCAATTACCAAAATTAGTACAAATCAGTAATTTTTTAGAAGAACATTCATTGTGGAGGCGTTATATCCTAGTCATTCGATCACTTCAGACACAACTTGGTATACCACACTCACAGCAAAAACTTGTCATGTTGACAAGACAAAACTTGTTATGGCTAAGTGTCTGTATAGCAACAAGAATTCACTTGTCAAAAAGACATGTTTTCAGGCTTGCCCCCCCCCCAAAAAAAAACAACAACACTCTTTCTCTGATGGGATTCGAACCCACGACCTCCTGCTTACCGGTGCAATTGTTCTACAGCTCAACTGCCGAGCTAGTCGAGGTCGGATCGTTGGCACGAATAGATTCAGCTGTGGGCAGCGCAGTTAACAGTGCAACTGTTTGTGGATTGTTGTCAGAATTTTAGTATGACACGGCAAGGAAAAGCTTGCCCCTGTCACCACCACCAGAACTCTAACACGTCGACTGTTTTTATTGTGATTATTCTACTGGGACTATGAATCGATAAAGAGCTTGTCAAAATCTCGTCAGTATAACAAAGAAAGCTGTTTTTTGTCACTGTATGAGCGGAACTCATGCATCATCAAACTAGAATTTGTTTTTAGTGTATTGCTAAAATACACGTTGAAAAGCCTCACAAGCTGTGTCAATTACAAATGCAACGTACCTCCATAAAATCGAATATGGCTCATTGATTTTTCTGTCTGCCGTCGTTGCGAATCCCAGACAGGCGATGCGGTGGCGTAATCGGCAACTACATGGGCTACATTGAGAGCCCGAACTACCCGGGCGATTACCCGTCGGGCATCGAGTGCGTGTGGCGGGTGGCTGCCCCCAAAGGCCGCAAGATCATCGTGGTGGTGCCCGAGGTGTTCCTACCCGAGGAAGACAACTGCGGAGACCAGATTGTCATGAGGAAAACCAGTAAGAACAAAAGTACTTATGTGTGAATTGTGTCATAAGCAATCGTTGTGTTCCCTCTACTATTAAAAATAACATGTGTGATTCACTCTGTAAAATCAAGGCCCACGGTCATTTTTCTCCAGTAAGTTTATTTCAGATTGCATTAGAAGACCAAAATACATCTTTGTTGTGATGTATTGTTAGTTTTAGTGTCCTGATGAAGCAGACTTAATTTGGGACCCGTTACGACAAAAATGAGCTTAAAGTCGCATTCCGCTCTTTCCTATTTTGAAGGTTCAAAATCATATTGAAATGGAGGTTAATTTGGGGATTTTGTAATATTTGGAAAGACTAACCCGTCTCCTATTTAATTCCAAATATTTTGCGGGATCAAAGAGTTAAAAATGTCATTTTGGCAGTAGTTTTGACAAGAGCATTATGCATGCCTGGTCTGAAATGTTGAAACAATGTCAGGAACAAAGACGTAATGCTGCCAGAATAATGCCACATTGTCAACTTATACTTCTACCCTAAGTGTTCCATGTACATGCCATTGGAGAGCTCTCTTTCTGCTGAACTCAAAAATACCAATATCTCAATTTTTGAAAATTCCGACTTTCAGCTCATTTTGTAGTGACGGGTCACATTTGTGTGGGTACAAAGATGTTGATGGTTCCTACTGATGTCCATGCTGCAAGTTTCCTTTAATCCTAAGAGCCTGGCCTATCATTGGGCTTTCAGGACTTGGTACTACAAACTACTGCGTACAGTAGTCAGAGCCTGAAGGGCCTAGCCCTACAAATTACTACTTCTGGCTAGGTCACTTCCATTGTTACTCGTACAGAGAACAATAAAGCCATGCATTCATAGTGCCACTGCACTGTACGGTACATTGTCTTATCTATTGTATTTTGTGGCTTCAGAGAACAATAAAGTTCATGTCCTCTTACACGCGACAGCGCCGAATACTACATTTTACGACAAAGTAATAATTTTTTTTTTATGTCCGGTTAGGGTTACAGCCGAGGCCTCTTGCCTAAAAGTGGCTCTGACGACTTGTGAGGTTCATTTTCACAGAGCAGGTCATATACCATTTAACATTAACGAACTTGTATCTTGGTAATTCCAGAAATTCCGATAGTGTGATATTCTCATGTCGCTGTTACAATCTGACATTTGTTCTTTGACATGGAAATATCACCGGATATGATTTCAAACTTTTGCTATTTATTTGGCAGGTAATTTGCATTAATTCATCACTCTTGGAAATTTGTACTGAACTTACAAAATCAAATGTCAGATGTACAGGGACGCGAAAAAAATTGGATCCCTAATTTCTCTAATTACCTATCTCTTAACTGCCAGAAATGGTGAACGAGTTAATTTTTTTCCTCTGTCTTCATGAAATGACGAAAAGCAGTGCTAGCGTAATGAGATTGCTGCAATTGATATGCAGCCCGTATTAGGAGTTCAAAGTTCAGTGAAGCAAACCGTAGAGGTTTCCAAGAAGTAAGGCCTTCGTGTCTTCTTCGTTTCCCTGGTGGAAATCTTTAGGGTTGAGTAACAGACACACTTTCATGTTCCACGAGTTGAATCATCGTCACTTTCGGACCACCCGAGGAAATGCTCTTGTAATGCAGTGTCCAGCGCTAAACATAAGACGTTTGTGGCAACAGAAGAGAAAAGCAGGAGATAGTATATTGAAACAAACCTTGTTTGTCTTCACTCGGAGTTCGGAAATGCCAGTGAGCTTGGGATCTTGAGTATCGGAGGACGTCAAGCAGCTGATTTTACAAACATTTATGCAATGACGAAACTGCACTGGATACACTGCATTTTACCGTGTATAAAGTTCTTCAACAAATTAGGACGCTTTCTACCAAAGTTACAGACTGTATGTGCGAATCTGTGACTTGTGCTCCAAATAATGGCTTATCTTGTCTTGATTCAAGTTGTAATGGACACGTGTGCGAAATATGATTACAAGGAAAGTGGTCCTCATTTTAACACCGATGATGTAGAAATGTGTAGTCTGAGGCAAAACTTGTTCCGAGTCAAGAGTGGACTTAGCACAAACTTTGGCAGGAATGGCTGCCCAGGCATGCAAAATGGCGGTCAACGTTTGTAAAAATAAGACAGGTCTGTAGTGTATGCACTCTTCTCTGTTTACAGATTCTCCGTTATCCATGACCACCTTTGAAACTTGCAAGAATGTAACCCGACCGATAGCCTTCACCGCCCAAACCAGGAAGTTGTGGATCCAATTCAAGTCGGATGCGTTCAACTGTTACTCGGGATTCCAGATTCACTATGCCACCTATGACGGTAAGCTCACTTAACCGAGATCTCCGCTCGTCAGAGCTCAGTCTCGTCTGCAGCTAGGCATTGAATGACCCCCCCCTACACACTTCCTAGTGCAAGGACGACTGCATTCGATTTGACACTCATGTGACTACTCACACTTACTCAGGACCAACCTGCTGAGCCAGTTACTTGGGGAAGTATCCCACAGTTCAACGCAAAAACATGTCAGCTTTGTTTTAATGGTACAAGGAAAAGTTGATACCTTTGTACTGAAACAATTCAGTACCCATGGTCCATTAATATGGCAGTGGGAAGAATTTGAAACCATTTTGTTTCACGCAACCACTTGGCCGAAATGATTTCTTCTTGTCACTTTTCATGTCTTCGGACGTAACTTTTGCCTGCAGAAAATTACGAGGAGCTCATCAAGGATATCGTGGGAGACGGGCGGTTGTACGAGTCCGACCACCACCAAGAAATCCTCAAGGTACTGAAACGTTTCTCTGTCTGGTTGTCGATGCTATTCAAAAACATAACGTGATGTGATCGTGTAAACTTTATCTGACAAAATGCCATTGCTTATTGGGGCGGAGTTGTCAGGATTTTTCGTGACAAGATATTTTGTTTAATTTTCATTCATGACGTATCATTCCCCCCAAAACACAATTTTTTACTCCCCTTGCTTCCAAAAAATTGTTTTGAAAGGAGCAGCGAGTTGTGTCCATGAACATCGCCATAATAATCGGCAAAAACTTGTAATGTTTTCAAATAAATCACAGTTACGTCTATGATAACTTTCTATTCTTTTTTTCACCATTCAAGAAACTTGCTTTTATTTCATCATTTAAAATTCAAGCATTTTAAATATAACGGCTTCTCAAATTCACCGGAGTTAAAGAGGTTGGTGTATCATGGGTGTAAAGTAGGGTTTGCCGAAAATGAAACCATGTTTGGATGAACGAAATTCAGTCACTGCTCCTGACCAAAACGACTGAAACGATCTTTCTTCTAGGACAAGGAAACGTTGACAGCCTTGCTGGAAGTGATCGCTCAGCCCGAGACCTACTACAAATACAGTCACGAGGAATCCATGAACATGCTACCAGATTCTTTCATTGAATTCCTCCGGGGCAAGATTTCCCGCCGTTTCTACCCGATAACGAGACGATGAGTTACACTGCGTTGTAAGATTATCTCCTTTGTATTAATTTGTAAATATAAAAAAAATTTTAAAAAGGAACCAAATTGGACAAAGCATAAATGTATGAACAAAATGTATTCCATATTCCTTTTTTTAATTGTGTTTAATTGAGAGTTTATTTTTCAGGCGGGGATCCATGTTTAGAGAACAGTTTCTCATATTACTTGAAGTTTTTTTTTGTTTTGTTTTTTTGGCTTGGAAGAGCTGAGCCACGTGTCTGTAAAGGTCCCAATTAGGTTGATCTTTAGAACGCGGGCAGTTGTCGTAAAGGGGGAAAGAGATTTGATTGTCATGTTTACTCGGCCTCGTCGTGTCTGATGAGGCCGACCACATTTTAAGAGGCTGACCCGTTCAGTTTCGGCATGGCAGCTGGCAAAGAAAGAAGTTGATTTGCTATCGATTAATTCCCGTAATTAAGTTGTGGGGGGGGGGACTTTAGAAGATAAAGTTGTGCAGAGTGGTTCAAGTCAGATCCAGTGTCCTAACAAACTGGAGATTTTGAAATCTGGTCTGAAATGAATCAATAATCATCCGATCAGTTCACCCGGGAGCTGTCATTTTAACCTCGTCACTGGGTAACTTTTGTCACTTTTGTTCACTTATTGCTTGCTTTCTGTTCGTGGAGGGGATAATTATTTTAGTGAGGGTTTGCTCACTTTACTTTCTGAATGCTTATTGTCTTTGCTAGTTTGGATTTGACTTTGGTTTGGGGATGGGTTGGTCGTCAGAAAGGAAGCTTTCCACATTGCTGCATTTATTGGGTATTCCCAAGCCTCTTGCATCGCCGCCTTGTAGTCAGTCTTAAAAACCCTCGCCGCTCTGATTTCGAACCGCCACCTCGGAGTATAACATGGACCACTTGTAAACTTTTAAATTGGAAATGTTTAGGAAAGACTGTGTGTATTGTGTGTGCGTCGCTCGGCGACAATAAAAGTATTAAAAAGGTCTTGTTGAAAATTACTGCTTGAATTTTTTTTCAAAAACATGACACGGTATATAACTTTTTATAACTGTGTTGAAATGTTAGAACTTGTTTTAGAAACGGTACGCCGGTTTACAGGTTAAGAGTACAGTCATTGTTGATACTGAATAGTATAAGACATTATTACCGTAAAGTATTCAGAACAATTTAGGCTGAGGAAAGATTATATTGAATCGTCCAATAGTTGCTGAGGAAATAGTGCATATACGTAGTATTCGCCTTGTTACCAAAGTTGTTCGTAGAAACGATAGCTTAATAACTGGAGAGAGCAGGAAAGCACCTGTTCTTTTCGCTATCCTAGTGGGAGGGAGTAAACTGTATGAGCTACATGCATATGTGGGTGGTTTTCATCTTTTTAAAAAATATCAGTCCGCGGCTTATTTGTGGTTGTAAACAGTCAAGTCCTCACAGGTCTTCCCAGTCTTCATATTGGTCTTTTACAAGCCTTCAGGTCCTCACAATTCATGCAAGGTCCTCACAGGTATCGTCTTGTCGCAACCCAGTGAATAGACTGTTTAAACAAACTGTGACAAAGGTATTGTTCCTTCGCTACCGATCGTATCACCCTTACATGAAACCCAACCTCAGGCTGACTTTTGATTCGACTTGTGAATTGTTAGAGAATCCTTGCAAAATGGTATTACGCAGTCGAGCCTCTTTTTTGAATTAATGAATTTCTTGCTAAATTGCAGAAAATGGATATGAACTCGTGATGTCGTCGAATAAATCGGTCAAGGAATTATCCCTGCCTTGGTAAAAATGACTTAACCTTTCCCACAATTCATTAGAATTAGACCAAAAAAATGTTTCCAAAGATCATGCCCCATTGTAGAATTTTGATTGTTAAACAAGTCAGTGTTCTGTTCGTGGAGACCGACCAAGAGGTGCATCCGTAAGAATCTCGCCAGTGTACTTAGAATTGTTGTGGTGGATAGACATCTGTCAGTACAGAACATACCACCGATTACGATTGTGATAAATGCGTTTGCGGTTCTCTTGTGTATATAATGTGCCAAAGATTCGACTCTGTGCATCCAAGCTGTACATATTAATACGTTGTTTTAATAAGTGAAAACAAATGCACTGCCGAAAACTCGCGTTATCTCGCGTTGTTTGATATTAAAGTAAAAATCTTAAAAGTATTAGAATTTGAAGATAGGATCTCCGATGTGAGGATTTAGAATGTGAACGCAGAAACTATGATTGTTCAAGTGATGTTTTCAGACAGGTGGTTGCCTAGGTAACGGAATGTACCATTTTGAACAAGAATATAGTTCTCATTTGTCTTCCAAGTTTTAATGTAGGCCTGTGCTGACTCTAAAAGTCTTTTTGTTCTTACTCATTGTAAGCATTTGTTCCTGCCAGAAGTTTAGAACAGCTATTCCGAACTTGAACTAAATTTGACGCATTTCAGGAAGAATTTAGAAAATAATCGGAGGTGATTTTTTTTTGGGGGGGGTGTTGTAATTCAAAGGTCGAAAAATTGTATAATGGGGGGGGTTGTGGTAAGACAAAAATCACGTGATTACCACCTTTCGTTTGTATTTATCCCCACCCCACGTGACGGGGGTTGTGGTTTGTATTCTTTGTGTATGGGGAATTTCAGGCCCCATCTGCATCGTGTTCGTACGCGAATAGCTTAGAATTCAAAACTAGAATTTAGAATTTTTCCCTTGAAAATAGTGGACATTTCTCTGTTATTAACCCGAACAGTCCTTAACCCTCGGACGGGTAGAGGATCGAGGCTTGTTAGGGTTAATCGGTCCAGCACAAATTCAGAATTCTCAAAATAAACAGCGCTTAGTAGAAGATTTTCATATCGAATCTCATTGGGCTATAGACAAGAGTCATTTCAGGAAGTCAAGCAGTATTGGTGAAGATTTTTATTGGTTATCATCAAAGCCTCAGAAAAATTTAAAGTAAAGAGATGAGAATCTAAAATGAAAGGCCATGAATGAAGTACAATAGAGGAATGATTTAAAGGGCCAAACATAGTCAGTATCTCGTTGGATCTTGAGAGTAGGCTGAAGAAGTCGTCGAAGATATTGAATAAACTCCGCAACTTTGTACCAAAACCTGGAAGCGATTTTCCTGTGTCTAATTTCGTATATTGTACCGTCAAACGTTTAGCGTTGGTCTATAAATCCACAAAAGTTGGCCAGTAACATCGTCCCTAGACGCCTACTGCGTTCCATTCTTTTTATTGGCTGGTTCTCAGCAATGCAGTACATGTATTTGATATTTTGCGCGTGCTGCATGAATAATTTAAATGTACTTGGCCCGCCTCGGAGAACGAGTTGCGCAGTGATGATCTGGACCTCGAGAGGGTCTCCATCAACGAAACCACTCTTGTGACGTCGCCCCGTGTCAATTTCAAGAATGCACGGTTTGCTTTGCATGTTTAAAACACCCAAGTCAAAATTTATTGACTTGATACAGAAATCGCCGTTGGAACATTGAATTTTTATGTCTAGCACAATGGGAAACTCTCCTGACAGTTGAGTGTACACCGTTTTAGACGTTCTACGAGTTGATGGTCTCTCGGAATTTTTCGATTTGTCTCGTTAATATTTTCTGCCTCACGTTCAATGGCGATTTCAGATTATCATTTAAAATGAAACTTGTCGGAAAGAGTTTGTACACGGACAATGAATTGACACCATGTACACAAATCCTATGAGACTAGTCAGAAAATTCTGTCTTCTGAGTGAACGCTTTTAGATTATTATGTTCACTACTAAACTTGTTTTTTTTGGACATGTTACTGTCTGATGGCTCATGAAGCACTGCAAAGGATAATAAGAGATGTCCGCGTACGGAACTGGTACCTACCTGCCATTTCACGTTTAGTTTTAATGTGTCTTGTGCATTTTATATACTGTCTACTTCTACATTTTCATTTAACTTTTATGTGAATTGACGTTACATATCAACAGAGTCCTATGCGGACCCCACTTGACGCCCTGTGCACAAACCCCATGGGACTGGTCTGAAAAGATTTAAGTGTTTTCTAAGTCATCGACTTGGTTTTTTTCCTTTCTAAATTGAACTTTTCCGGACATGGTTTTGCTTTCTGACGGCTAATAGGTCACTGTAAGGAACAATTACTGGCGTCCATTAAGTGGGGGTTAAATCTTCCTGCTGTTAAAGTAAACCATTTTTGAAATAACTAAGGCGACGATCGATATATAACTAAACAGAACAGATTGTTAGGAACTTACCTATCAGTGCTTCGCAGATGATATTCCAAATGCATGTATTTTCCAAACGAACGAATTTCCGACGGTGATGGGGAATTTTGATGAGAAAGCACGACCTCTAAGCTTGTAATGTGGTCTTCATTTGACGGTGAACTGTGGTTCTCGAATTAGCCGCTCGCCAACTGAACTCGCTCGTTAGGGTTGTGAAAAGTCCCCAGCTCCGCACAGTCATGTCGACAGCATTGAATAATTATTTAAATCCAGTATATTTCTGCAACTAACTTAAATCTGTTAGGATTTGTACGGTGGCTAGACAATGTGTGAACCCTACCATCCGCTGCTGATGCCGACCGCATGTCTCCGTGGCTTGATATACTTGCATGCTCGCAAAATCCAGCCCACGAGTCGCTTGAGCCCGGAGTAAAAGCTTTCATGTCCATGCAGATGTCCATTTCTAGCCAACGCTGGACAATGATGGAATCACGTCACGGATCAAAGCGCTAGCAAAACCTTTCTGTTCTCTTGTACAATGGGCAATTGTGGATGGAGGGCGTGGTTTAAGTCGGAGAAACGACTCCAAAAGCTGAAGATTCTTTGATCCGAATTCATTCGGATCGCCACTTTTTCGTCGTTAAAGCCCATTCACGCGTAATTCTCTCCAGAGACAGGTTAATAATCAGTCATGCATGTCAATGTTGTTAATTGCAAGGCACTGTTTATTCATTGTAATGCACAACAGTAAAAAAAATTGCCATCGATTAAAAAAATACATACGTTTCGTAAAAAAACATTGCCTCCGACTGGAACGGTGCTCATTCAAAGTGCACTTGATAAAGATTGATGGATACCTTTGGAATGTTGGATCAATTCATGTATTGCTTCTGGTATGCAGCAAACAACTGGGAAAAATGAAATAGGTGTACCATCGAAAACAGCACGGCACACTGACTGTTCCGATTGCCAAGAGCAAGGAATTTCTAAGTTTTTGAGAGTATCCAAAATGGATTAACAAGGTATGGACTTCAGACAGAAGACTGTTATTGCTGACGTCGTGGCTGTCCAATTGCTTCAAAACACTGCTACGTATTCAAAGGTCGTGTCCAAACCGCGTGGCTGCGGCTAGGAGTCACAAACGTCTATGGGGAGATTCTGCAGCCACTACGCAAAGGCTTCCATTGGCGGAAACATTTTCAGCCGAATCGATAAACTACTCGAAGTTGGGACACCAGCCTAAATCTGAACCTCAAAAGTTCTCGATGTTTTCGAGCTCAAACATAATCTACCATGACTTTCCCAACACAGAATCCATTTTAAAGCTTGATCTGTTTTTGTTAGTTTAGTCACCCGAACATCTTATCCATCTCTTGAAGACAAACTTTGGAGTATTTTCAAAGCTACTTCGTTTTCTCCAAATTATGAGATATTGGAAGAGGGGCAATGCCCCCCAAGAGGGCGCCAGCACGTCTCCCCCATTCGCCCAGATGATCTGTTCTCAACAACAGCCAAACTTTGTCCCAAACCAAAAACTCGAGAACTTGCAGTTTTTGTACAATTTCATGAAACTAATAAAATGTGTTTCACTTGCAAACAATTTCTACTTTGCCAAAATAATTATGAAATTAACAGATTACACGCACATAAATGCAGTCAGAAAATTCTGTTCACGATATAGGATTTTTTTCAATAATTGGTCACAATAGTAATACTGATTAATGATACTATTTGGCAACCAAGTTGCAACATTGGCCGTGCATAAAGCATGACTTTCCAATTCACACACCTTTCAACCCTGGATTTTTCTAGCCGAAAAATGCTTTTTGTTTTCGAAAAGGCACAATCAGTAAGCTAACAGAAAAATCTTAATTATAATGCTGATTACACAATTTAAACATTGATAAAGTCATATGACCATCTTTGGTGAAATCGTGAACACACTTGGCATACAGCAAAAACGGTGCAGGAAACATTTTTCTGATTTGCATTTTTTTCCCCGGAAGAATTAGGCAAGAGAAAAAGCACATCGGAATAAAAAAAAAATCCACACACAAATAACAATTAGTGCAAGCTGCATAAACTGAAGCACCAATTTCAGGGACTATTTAGAATACGTGCGATTCACAATAGTGCGCCACCAAGAGTTTGCAACGCGTCGGTCGATCACAACGCGCAAATTGGTCGACCCTTTTCATTGGGTCGACAGATTTCGCGCATAGTGATTGGCCAACGCTTTGCAAGTTCTTGGCGGCGCACTACTCTCTAAATTCCAAAGAGTGAAAATTCACTCCATTTGAGTGAAAATTCAATCCCTCCGATTGGAATTAAAGACGAGACGAATTGGAGTGAATTTTTTTTTCACTCCAAAAGACTGAAATTTCACTCAAGCCTCCACTGGAAGGGGCCACTTTCTGCCTTTTTCAGTCTAAATTCAGAGTGATTTTCACGCTAAAACGTCTTGTCCCTTATTTCACTCTTTCCGATTTAGAGAGTACTGTGAAATACCTGTATGAAAAACATTGTTAGAACCAGTTAAATACACACCGCAAATGTCTACCAAAATAAAGCGACTAGAAAAGATTGACTGTCTACATATACAAACGCTATTTCAGAACAGAGTACAGGCGACTACTTTATCTCTCAGGTAAAAGGCTTCGATCCAGTGTGGTCGTTGAGTCCATCACAAGTCTTGTCCTACCTCCATGCTCCGACTGTTAACGTATACAAAGGTTTTCACGGAAAAGAGCCCCGTTGGGCACGGGGCCGAATTTCACTTGATCGAAAATGCGTTAAAGAGCACCTCTTAGGAAAACACGTTTCCTCTGATTTTATCTGTTCAAATAAATATGGAAGCATCCAAATCGAACGCGGTGTCATTTGTCAGAGCTCAACTATAATAAGCTTAAAGGGCCTTTTTTCTGTTCACGCCAAGATGCGAATTCGGAACGTAGATTGCGTCATTCGGAGAAAACGAGGTGAACCCTCGCCCTGTCTTCGCAGTGGATAAACCCTTGTGCATACCAAACAATGGCTACATGCATTTTTAGCTTGTTATAGGTGAGTTCTGAAGACAAAGGAAACTGCGTTCGATTTGGATGCTTCCATATTTATTTGAACAAATAAAATCAGAGAAAATGTTTTTTCCTTAGAGGTGCTCTTTAAAGTGAGCTTTTGTCCTCGAATAAAATATAGCTCTTGGCTACAAATTTGGGCAGTAAATAAACTAGCCTTTCAAAATTAATCCTTTCAAACAGGAAACAATTCGAAAGAAAAGGACCGAGAAAACCCACAACATTAATCCTTACCAAGACAACTCAATAGATCTTTCCTTCCTTTTTTCGTGCACACGACCCCACATAATGACACCGAAGCTTTTAGGAAACTCAGGTAAAAACCATAAAATATTTTGGCCCTGCTCAGAACGGGGGCCTAGCTTCTTAAAAGCAGTGGGTAGTTGAATCAGGATGACAAGTCACCCAGTCTTGAGCCAAGTCGCAAGCTATGAACGGCAACAAACGCATTCCTTTATCATTGTTCCTCCTGTTACTTATGACAAGTCTCGCGATGACAGGACTTGCGACGGGACTTGAGATGGGACTTGAGATGGACTCGACCACAACACCGCTCAGAAGAATTTCAGTGGGCATTTCTAACAGCTGAAAGATTTTTTTACTATGTCAGACTTTTTAAAAATCATTTTGGATTGCCAAGGAAATATTATTCCAGTGTAACATGCTGGAATTTGCCTGGAATGATGGTAAAAATCTGATCTCTCTCCTACAATTTAGCTGAAAATCAAACATCTTTCATGGACCAGCTGAATTTGTGAGAAGAAATTTGGAACTTTTTCTAGGGCAAGGCAGAAAATGAAAAAAGTACTCAAACAGTGCAATACAAACAGCTCTACAACTTTCTTCGTTAAGCTCTAAATAAAAGCATCAGCCAGCTACAAAATAGCTTATAACTAGCAAAATCCATTCTTTCATACTGTCCGGCATCACGCTGGTTGCATTCAGTGAAACAGCATGGGAACCAATCAGGCGAATGGTCCCACTTTTTCACTGGTACATAGTACTTCTCCACATGTAAAAGGATATGGGAACCAGCATGTTAGAGGTCTCCATTCTTCCTGGTATGCTGTGATTCTGTGTATGTGTTCACAGGATATGAGAACCAGTGAGGTGAGGGTTCCCACTTCTTCACTGGTTCACAGTTATTCTCAATATGTGATACCAGTGCATGGGGACCAGTGAGGTGAGTGGACACCATTCTTTCCTGGTATGCAGTGATTTTTACATTATGTATTAACAGGGTACAGGAATCGGCGAAGAGGGTAGTCATATACCCTTCCCTTGTCACTCATGCTCTACACCATCCCCTTCCAATCAGGCACGGGGCGAACAATGGCGACCTCTAGTCACTACTTCTCTGCATATGCTCCATGCAAAAGAAGCCTCAGCTACAAAGCAGAGACAATCTGGTGGGGCAGACATTTCAACTAGGTGTATAGATCTTGCGCCAAGATTGTACACATTCCGATGAAAACTGTCCCAGCTGCCTCACACCTTACTTGCACAAAGTCTAAATTCATTTTAATGTTGAAAAGTGCACTCGATTGTTATAACACAGAGATCATATGCTTCACTCTAGATCATAAGTCAGTCTGCATCAAACTTTAATCCTTGTTCATGTTTCAAGTTTGGTTGTTCACTTCAACAAAGATCTCAAGGAAGTAAAGACCTGTAGCTGGTCTAGCCTCTTTGCGTGTAGCAATTTGCGCCTTATACACTGTGAGGATTGTTGATGGTCAGGTCGCTTGATGGTGTTTAGAAGGTTAGTTCATGTACAAGTCCTGGCTGCTTATTTTGGTCATCATCCTTAAGTCTTGTATCTGCTCGTCTTCACCTTTGAACGTCAGCCGGTCGATCTCGCTGAGCGAGATCCCGTTGATCTTCAGCTCCTCTTCCTCCTGCAGAGTGATCTTCCGCATGATGCGGGCCTTCTCCCACCGTGAGAGCCTTGGGTCGGAAGCTGTCTTCTTGGCCAGCCGGGCGGGGCTACGGGCGTGGCTATCCTGGATCGAGGAGTTCCTGGCTTGGGACTGTCTATTGTCTCCCAGCACGGCATCTCTCGGATGCTCAGCCTGTTTAACAGATGATGTGTCGCTGCTGGCGTCCGCCTTGACGTCATTGAAGAAGTCGTGCAGGACCGCTGCAGCGCCCACCCGCGACTCGCGGAACTTCTCAGGATCATGGACCCGTGGCGGGGAGGGGGCACGCTGCTTGTGCGAGAAAGCTGAGTGAAGCGGCAGCGAGTGGCTGGCGAGGTCCGTGGTCCGAGCGATGCTGGAGTCGGCCATGCTGCTCATCGTGCTCGCTGTCTCAAAGTTCTTATCGCTGGAGACGCTCAGCCTGCGACCGTCAAGAAACAACTGCGGTTTGGGAATAAAATTCTCTGATTTCCTCTCATCTCCTTTTGTCTTTGGCCGCCGGCTGCTCTTAGGAACATCAAATTCCTGCATTCGAGCATCGCAGTTCTTGTCGTGGACGTCATGGTACTGTCTCAAGACAGGATGGACTAATCTTTCGATGGATTCCGGAGGCACGTGTGCAACCTTTGATTTCTTTTTCTTCCCTTTCTGTGAGGTAAACACAGATAAACGGGCCACACGAGACTTGAAACTTTGCATGGTGGAGGCTAGACTGACAGACGGTTTGCAGGCAAACCACGTGGAATCAATCTCTTCTGTAAGAGGCGGCTCTGAGAAGAACTGATGAGTGCCAACTTGACGTTTCGAGTATTAAAAGACCTCTCACGAGGACCAGAGCATCCTGGACAAAACGTTGAGTTTACATTCACCAGTTTATCTCAGAGCCACCACTCTTACAGAAGAGATTGATTCCAAATGGCCTGCATGTCAAGGCAGGTAACACACATGCCAACCTTTAGGGGAGTCGGATTTGGGAGTCTGGTTGGCGTAGTGGTTCTTTCCTCGCCTTCCATCTCTGACTAGGGCCAATGGAACACAGGTGCTAGGGCTAATAGAACACAGGTGCTAGGACCTATGGACTACTGGTGCCTAGGACTAATGGAACACAGGTGCTAGGACCTATGGACTACTGGTGCCTAGTGCCTATGGAACACTGGTGTTTAGGGCCAACGGAACACAGGTGCGTAAGGCCAATGGAACACAGGTGCTAGGGCCTATGGAATGCTGGTGCCTAGTGCCAATGGAACACAGGTGCCAGGGCCTATGGAGTGCTGGTGCTAGGACCTATGGAAAGCTGGTGCCTAGTGCCTATGGACCACTGGTGCCTAGGGCGAATGGAACACAGGTTCTAGGGCCTATGGAACACTGGTAGAAGGGCCTATGGAATGCTTGTCCCAGAGCCCATGGGTCACTGATGACAGGACCTAAACAGCACTGGTGTTAAGAAGGGGCCTACAAAACACCTATGTGAGGGACTACTGAGCACTATGAAACACTGGTACTATGAGGCCCAAGTGAGGACCAATAGAGGGTGCAGTTTTTCCTGCAATGGAGGCTCCTTTGGAGGAACTTCATTTCACTGGTTCACAAACGACTATGAAATCCCAACGTTACGGTCACGTCGCTACCAACAGAAATGAACTCTCCCCATCAAAGTGGCTCTTTTCAATCAATGAGGGGGTGCTTCTGGTCAAGACGGACAGCCTGTGGAACACTGGTGCTCAGGGCCAATCAAACCCTCAACCTGGTGCTGAAAGTCAGGACAATTTAGCTGAGCTAAGGGGCAGGATGATCGGACATACCTTCTTGGGTTTGATGGGGGTTGGAGTTCTCCTCTCATCCTCCATCGTTTCCTTCTTCTGCCGATAGTAACGAGGGAGGTGCATCTTCATTTGCTGCTCGAGCTTCTGCAAAGTCCTCTCCTCCTGCAGAAAAAAAAGAATCAACATCTCCTTTAAACCAGACCCCTTGAGTGTGTGAAAACTGTGCTACAAACTAGAGTACGTTGGATTGTTCAAGTTTAGAAGGTACTTCCTTGCAAACAGCTTTGATCTCTCGTGAGTTAGGAAAAGTGAAGCAAAAAGAAATCTTGTGTTTGGAAGATGTTAAGTTTAATTACGGGTTTTGCCCTTACACAGACGCATATTCATAAACACTGTATACTCAGTGCTTATCCGAGGGCCTGTGAATAAAATCACAAGCTTACTCGGGTGGGACTCGAACCCACGACCTTCTGCTTCATTACCACCCTCCTCCGAGTCCCACCCGAGTAAGGTTGTTAATTTTTTTCACGGGCCCTCAGACTAGCACTGGGTATACAGTGTTTATGAACATACGTCGGTGTAAGGGCAAAAACCTGTTATTAAAATTTTTTAAAAGGCAATGCAAATGAGTCACAAATTGCCAGAGGCAAGTTTGAATTGAAGGTCTTTGGAAAGACCTTGTACGGTGTATATCAACCTCTTCCAACTAAAATGATGCGCTTTTCTATCAAGATATTGAACCGAGTTATATACATCAAAACAGAGAGCTCTAGCATTGCTCTTTAAATGCAAATGAAAGCAAACGTTACTGGAAAAAAGGCCTAAAGACTCATTTTGTGGGATCCTGTCATATAATGACTGCCTTTAACTCATGGTAAAGTAAACCTATCCCCCAAGGTGATATGTTGTGGTTCTCAGGGCTGCCGATGTAGACTAGTCTTACTTCCAGCCATCAGGATTTATTTTACACCTTAGCTTTGTCTCTGCATGGAAAATAACATGCTCAATGGGTCACCTCAGGAGGTGACACCGCTCAGGTCAAGATTTGTCTGTCATGTGACATTCTCTCAGCCAATCAGGCGATGGCTTCTAAGGGTGCGGTGGCATTATAAACGCACACCAAAAACCTTACCAGTGTCTCTATCTGATATTGTAGGCTGTCCAGAACATGCTGCCGCTCGACCACGTCCTGCTCTGTGACCACCCGCGGGGTCGAAGGTCGCACGTAGGTGTTGATCATACTCTTCCAAGGCTGCTCCGAGGACAGGCTGGAGTTTGCCAGCTCGGTTCTGGCGTTCCTTGAAGTGGAGCCAGGCGGGACTGACTTCAGAGCTGGAAAAAAACCCCCGAGTATTATCCCATTTCTAATTTAAATTTTTTTCAACCCTTTACTTTCCAACAGTTATGCAGGTTTCGAATTTTCAAGTGGTGGCAGGCAGGATTTTTAATCCAGAGAAAATGGAGTACACGTCAAGGTATAAAATACTGTGTTGGGGCCTGACCATCCTACGAAACCAACATTTCAAATGAGGAAGCCGGCAATCAAGCTTCCGCAGGTAAACTGGCAAAGATGCAAATCTCTGTTTTCGTGGAGTTCACGTACATTTCAAGGCAACTCAATTTCCACGGGCAGCGAAGATTTCTCAACCCCTGACGATGAAACCTTCAGGCTGCGACCATTAGGCTGCTTCGCAGCAGGTTGTCTGCATATCACTGAGGGGACATCACTGTAAGTTTGTTATTCTTTCAAAGCCAGAAACAAAGAACGCCAAAAGACAGCTTTTCGGATTTTCCTGATAACGGAGAGAGGGAAGTCTCCGAGACGTAGAGCCACAGATTCTTTTGAGCCCCTCTTTCGCTCACAAGAAAGAGAGACATACGGTACTTGAATCCTTTGTCTCATTACGACATTCACTATGCAAACTTTTAAACCCCAATTTTCCTAAAATCAAAAAAGACAACCACAATTAGTCAGTGAAAATGTTAAAATAAACCCAAAGCTACATGTACACCAAGGCAATGATGGTTCTCACTGACATCTACATTAACGCTGTGATATTTGATGCGTAAAGTGAGGGGCGTGGCTTAGGCGGTCAGGGAGGAGGGGAATCCACTTACTCCTTTTCTCGTGCAGAGCCTGCAGTAGTCGTATTCTGGGGTCTTCCGGCATCGTACTCTCCACCGAGCTGAAAAACTATGAATCGAAAATGGCACGTTTGAATTTGGGATCGAGCTTTCTGATTGGTGAGTTACCTATCACATGACCCTGTCTGAACTGTATGCATATGCATGTACTTGCGGAATGGCAAACAGAAGAAAATTTCATGATCAGGATTCCTTATAAAATGATTGAAATTTGAAGATAAGAAATATCACTCATATAAGAAATATCATTCATATATATACTTCCAGAACTAAAATTTAGGGAGAGTTCCATATTGGGACTCAACTTGCCACCCTGTGCACAAACCCTATGAGACTTGTCTGAAAACGTTCAAGTGTTTTTCTGTAAAAGTAATTGCTTCAATTTTGTTTTGTTAAAATGGACTTTCTATCTGATGGTTTATTGACCACTGCAAGGGGGAGTAAGCGATGTCTCTATATGGAGCTCTTACAAAATTGAGAAAATGAAATCAATACAATAACTTGACTCCGATGCTGTTTTGCCCAAAATCAGAATGGAAAGACAGATGCCAGAGGTGTTTCAAAAACCCTTTGTATGTTTCATGGCCGGCTGTGATATTTTGATCCATTCATTTTTTTTTCCTTCACCTCTTAATTTTTCATTTCGATCCCCGGCACAGTGCCCTTTATGCCTATCATCGGATAATTCAGCCTGGATGGGCTTAAAGGCTGCTTCATGCTTCGGGTGAAAGGGAAATGGAAGCCAAGTTTGACGTCACGGAATGTTTCCGCCCAAATCTGCTCGAGTGGAAACGTATTCAAATTTTGTGAATTCGCAGGGTGAAGACTTGATTTAATGCCACAAAATCGCATTTGTCCTTGCGTTCCTGCCAAGTATGAACTGCCCTTTAAAATGCATCGCAGCAGGTGCAGCGGGTGCAGCATTTTGGCAGGACAGACATCAGTGCAGCAACGGCCATAATTATTGATATGATGTGCTTTTGGAAACTGGCTCGTAATGTGCAGTACAGACTGTAGACATCAAGCACAACACGCCACAGACACTCAAAACCACACTTTAAGAAAACAGCTGAAGGAGCCCTAAGACCAGTTTTAACGTGAGGCGATGGTGGCAGCGGACATTCTGGTCCTTAATATACAGTATTGTGTATGCTCAGAAACTGGGTCATTCGATGAGGTTGGGGCACAACTTGTGACACTGTCCTTGTTACATGGGCAACTTTTACCACCTGTCATGACCTGTAGAGTAGGTCATTTACTCTGTGGAAATAACACACCCCTCTGTATTCAGCCTTGCAAGATGTATAACAATGTCAATTTGGAATCCACTTGCAGGGAAATAGCTGCTCATTTTTACGGAACCCATGTAACCATTGACACCGTCACAAATTGCGCCTTAACCTCATGGAATGACCCAACTATGCACGCAAGCTCAGAACTTATAAAAAGGACTGGTATGTTTGCAGCCACCAAGTGTCGCAACGCTTCCCATTTTGTCTCAATTTGCATCAGAAAGGGCAAACTGAGCTCCGGCCGTTTTGATGAATTGCTCAATGTAAGCATTCTGATGGTACTGGACATTACAGGACATTACAACTGAAAGTTAAGCAGGCAAGAGTTTATACACGGTAGCCATGTTCCTGGTCAGTATTTTTGTTCCATAGGGATACAAATGAGCAGACCTTTTGTGCATAGCCCCCTTAACAAAAGCACTGACCGGGAAGATGGCTGCCTCTATAGGAAATTCTTCTCACACTTCATTCGCTTTCATTTCACTAAATATGGAAATAATTTCTTACAGTGGCAAAATATTTTCACACCTTTTCACACAAAGGGTAAAACATTTTCATGCCTTTTCACACAACTGGCAAAACATTTCCAAGCCTTTTCACACTAAAGGCAAAACATTTTCACACCTTTTCACGCAAGTGGCAAAACAATTTCACGCCTTTTCCCACAAGAGAAAGACCTTGTGAATGCAAATGTGGAAAAAAGAATGTGGATTCTGTGCTGAAGGGCTCCCTCGTGGGGGCCAAACAAAGAAGCTAGTGCGACAGTTGAATGTCACTGCATGGTGCACTCGACGCCTACGCAAGGATGCTATATAAAGTGTTGTATTCGAGTCCATCACAAGTCCTTTCCCAAGTCCAGTCACAAGTCCAATCCCAAGTCCCTTCATAAGGCCAGTCATAAGTAACAGGTTGAACAATGACAAAAGAATGCTTTTGTCACAGCTCATTTGAATGGCTTATGACTTGGCTTAAGACAGGATAACTTGTGATGGACTTATGATGGACTTACAGGGACTTTAAGAAACCTGAAGGCTGTGAGACCAATACCAGCAAAATAAGTGCCGCCTTGGTTTGCGACTGGATCCCACAAAATGAGTCTCAAGGCCATTTTTACATTACAGCACAGCATCAGGGAGAGCAAACTTAGATCTCCGTTTGATATATCCCTCAATTTAGCATCCTGATGGAAAGAAGCATTCCGTGGATGAGCAGTATTGAGGAGTTCTGTTGATTATCGTTATGTGAGATTATTTTCAAGGCTTCGAAAGTGGCTTTATCAACTTGTGACTAGTTTTGTCAGGTTGAGTCACACTTGGTCTCTTGCTCTGACTTCAATCCGGACCTGAGTCTTGGGGCATGTCCGAAACTTTGCCATTGATAGAAATACCGGTAACCCATGTCAATGGAAGCCGCAAACTTGTGGCAAGATCACGCTATAAACATGTCCCCTGGCAAAAAATAACCCAGCTCCATTTGGAACCTGATTGAAGGCTCGTGCCGATCTCAGGTCCACTTGTTTTCCTTTTATTCCAAAAAGGAACTCCGACCTGATTTGACCGCAAACCTCAAGTGGATTTCAGAAGGGGGCCTACCTTCTGGGACCTGCTGGAGCGGTCGGACGTGGCCGAGTGCGGTGCCGACTGAGGTCGGCAGCGTGACTCCTGCGAGGGCCGTGCTGTGGTCAAGCGTGGCGTGAGCTGTGCGTGTGCGAAAGCCAGACAGGAAAGTGCGGCAGAGGCATGCGGAAGAATGGTAGTGAAATTGGAGTGAAGCAGCAAACGTGAATCCTGATCAACTTTTATGCGTGGCGAATCAACTTTAAATAAAATAGGGTGCAAGGACACATTGATGTCCTCAAAGGTTCCTCAGCAAATCTTTCTAAAGGTGGGCATGATTGAAGTAAAAACAGAGATTGACGTAAAGAGGACAATTGTTTCATTACCCATGGAAGAGTTGTTATGCACTCTTGCCGACTGAGTAAAATTGGGAAAAAAACAATTTGCAGAAAGTCAAAAATTTTCAGAACTTGTGGTTTCATTGAAAGAAAAAACTATGACAAAGCTATTCATTTTGATAGAGGAACACTGTCTGGCCAAAGCAAGAGGGAACTCCTGGAAACAAAATGTAATTTTTGACTTGTTTTTGCTTCAAGGAAAAATTGAAAATTAAATGGAGACCTTTCAATTTCTAAAACAGAATTCAAATTGTGAAAGTGATGAAAGGGAATTCAACTTTTGAAATGGAAAAGGAAAACCACCGTTGATACAGAAAACTGATCTAAAACAATTGCAAAATTTTAACAAGCTGACCTAGATTTTGCAACTGAAATTCTATCAAAGGAGAAAATATTTATTTGGGTTCAAATTGTCAGGATATTTGACCCAACTTGACTCTGAGTCATTGACTGATATAATTTCTCGAAATACAATGCTGGACCAATAAATTAATAAATTGTTCATGATACTGCAAAACCCCCCAAATTTAGTCTTTTTCATATTACGTGAAGTAATTTTCTACCTTCTTTTATCCACAGCTGTATTTTTAAACAAAGAAGCTTGAAAACTTACAGGAAATTCTAAATAAGGGAGGACAAACTGGCCTTCCAATGGGCCTACAATTCCCATTTCTGTTCGAATTCACCAAAATGTGTCATTCTTTTATTAAACTTGAAATCATTGGTCTTCGCGCCTTCTTTGATTCAACAGAATTTGGAGAAACACATTTGTTTGGGGTTTCTTTCTATCTGGCGAAAATCTGACTGATACAAAATCTCTGCAGGTAATGGTATGGATGTGACAAGCTTTACTAAAACTGTTGAATCAATTTTCTTAAACAATGAGGTGCAACATTGTGCAAAAATAATGCACGGCATGTTAATTGTTTAACACCCAGCCGACTTTTAAAACCCAAACAGGTGGAAATGTTTATGAGAAAAAAGAAATCACCGCAAACTGCAATGACACCAACAAACGTGGAGTGCGAAAAAACCACATAGTGCGCCAACAGGCAAAGGAAACTCTCGGCCGACACTTACGTCGGACACGGTGTGCGGGCGCGGCAGCGAGTGGAGCGGCGAGTCGGGCGGGAGACGGAACGCGTCGATCTCGGGGGCGGTGACCGGGCGGCACCGGACGTGCCCGGCTTTCGTCCGCTGGACCTGGGCCGTGGACTGTCCCATGAACCCTTGCAGTTCGCGGTACTTCCTGTTATGGTGGCGCACCTGGAGACAAAATGGAAACGATCATGACATCGGAAATAACGGCTACGTCTAAATGAACGAGCTAAAGCAGACAAAAGCAAAATCTTCCATGGAGAAGAGCCCCAGCCGCTAGCTAGCACCTTCAACATACAAGTTCAACCAAGTGAAAATTTTTTAACATATTCATGTTTACTGTCCCAACCAGCTTTGATTTTTGAGCTCAGCTGAAACAATGTCTGTAAAGTGAACATGCAAAGTTTATGTGACCTCGCAAATTGGCCACTAGAGTAAAACGAGCCAGTTTTAAACTGAAGTTTATGTTTATACAATTATTTATTTATTTACAAGTAATTTGGATTTGTCCTTTTTGTTTTTAATCCGTACGTCAGTTTTTATTATTAGTTGTTTTTTGTTTTGTTTTCCATGATACCTGTAAGTGGCGGATCTCCGCTGTTGGATATCAGAATAAATAAATAAGAGTTAACGTGGACTGGATTCCGATGGTTGTAAATCACACATTGGCCAGTGCTGTATTTTACAATTTTTTTTTGAAACAGCTCGTCAAACGTAATAAAACCCACTTCAAGTATCTTTACTTCTCTTGTCCAACATGTCTCTTTCAATTTCGTGCCTTTAAAGAGTGGAAACAGTAGTTTGGTTGTTGGGAATTTTAAAAAATAATGGCAGCCATCTTGAAAAGAAAAAAAATCTCAGATCTTTTTCCCCAAACGCCAGACCCTAAACATGTTAGCTTTTAACTCGGCCCTGCACCGAGGTGCCTCGTATGCGACCAACACTAGAAACAGGACACGACATCACTGGAGTGGTTCCACTCAGGCTCTGCACCTGTTCAATCCTCCGTGAGGTGTCGACCGCGCTCTCTCGTGGGATCCGTTTGCTGGCCAGCTGCTCCTTGCCGTAGTTCAGCTCCGTCTCTCGGAACTGCTGGTTCAAGCGCTGCTCCAACTTCTCATCTTTGGTCGTACAGACTTCCTCGAAATTATCAAGCTGTCAAGAAGACAACAAACCACAAGTGCCTAAAATCCAAGGATAGGAACGATTAAGGGACCAACAGTCTTTTATGACATCATTTCCTGCAAATTGCCAGGCGCATCTGCATTTTAGGCGTCATATTTTAGTGACGCTCATTGGCTGTACTGTATTTCAAAGATATTTGGATCAACACGTGCGTCCATATAAGAGCATTTGCATACTAAATTCACACACACCAGATAGCGCTGAATACGCCGTTGCTATTTTTCTACAAAATTGGTGTCCAACGGGAGAAATTTATAACACAGAACGAGCCAAAATGGAGACAGCTAACAGCACATAAAAATAACATAGTTTGGAGGTGGATAGTCACCAAGAGGTACTGGAAGTTGAACTAGAAAGTTCCCACAGAGCACCATCATTATAATTATGTAAAAACAGAACCTCCCTTGTTCACGCTCAGAGCGGATAGCTGAAACCGTTACCAGTACTTGTGAGCGGTCTTGTGATTGGTCTTGTGACCAGTCTTGTGATTGGTCCTGGCAATGGTCTTGTCAATTGTCTCGTGACTGGTGTTCTGAATGGCCTTGTGACTGGTCTTGTCAATGGTCTTGTGACTGGACATGTGACTGGTCTTGTGACTGGTCTTGTGAATGGTTTGTGACTGGTTTTGAGACCGGTCTTGGGACTAGTCTTGTGATTGGTCTCATGATTACTTTTCAGACTCGTTTTGTGACTAGACTTGTGAATGGTCTAATGACTATTTTTGTGACTGGTCTTGTGACTGGTCCTGTGACCGGTCTTGTGAATGGTCTACTGACTGGTCTTATATCAAGTCTCGCATCTGGTCATGTGACCGGCCTTGTGAATGGTCTACTGACTGGTCTTATATCAAGTCTCGCATCTGGTCTAGTGACCAGCCTTGTGAATGGTCTTGTGACCGGCCTTTTGAATGGTCTTGTGACCGGCCTTGTAAATGGTCTTGTGACCGGCCTTGTGAATGGTCTACTGACTGGTCTTATGTCACGTCTCGCATCTGGTCTTGTGATGGTCTCAACTACTATACATGCCACTAGGCCAGTGTTGTGTCTGGATCCTAACTGTTCCTCGCCTGAAGACACCCAACGCATTCCACCTGTCAAACTCCAAACCCACTCTCAGCAGAACTCCCTGGAAAAATTTGGTCTGAAGGCCCCGGACCACAAAACTACGGCCCTCTCATCCAAGAATCTAAAAACAATTCACTTCCTTCAGACTGAGCAGAAGGAACCAAGACATCTCAACACCAAATGGAACCAACCTGAAAGAGACGCCGCCACGTTTTGTCCAATGCTCCGTACTTGAAATCCGGAACGTCCACGTCCTTAGACAGCTCGCATCTGTAGAGAGAAGACGATTCGGATTTCATCAGACTGTTCACGACTATTCGTGAGAGGAACATGGCTAGAGGGGTGTTTGAAAAAAAGAAGTCAACAAAATCATCGGAAATTTAGCATTTTTAAAAATTGGTCGGACCTTGTGACTGAAAAGGTGTTCATGAATAGGTAGATGCTCAGCTGTCTCTCACCATTAGCTTGGGCGCTATCAGCATCCATTCTCCTCATGCCGTCTGAAACGAACGCTTCAGACTAGCCAAGCATTTATTTACTCCCCTATTATACAACACAAAATATATCCCGTCCGTCCGTAATAAACCTGATGACGGAATTGATTGATCACGTAAGAGGAAGTGCATGTCCTATGGGCTCCGAGCTGGACCATGAGAGGGCGCTATTTTCTTAGCATTAGAGGCTCCTTTGGTAGGCACTGAACTTTGCTGGTTCACGAACGACTAGCAAATGCACATGTCAACGCAATGAACACTCCTAACCAACGCGGCTCTTTCCAACCGATGAGGGGGTGCTTCTACTCGAGGCAGATTGCATGACCTCTGTTCGCACCGCCTCAACAGTGCACCAGAGCCATGTGACAGGCTTTTGGGGTCAAACAACAAATGCATGGTTTGCATGTTTTTCCCACAAATGGGCCGACGCTGTTACTGATGACAGATAGAAGAGCCGTCAAACTTGTTGAGTGACGCAGAGGTCACAAATACACAGACACAAATCGAGCATGCCGTCAAAAAAAAACTCCAGAAATTTGGTGTCCACAAAGAGTGACTGTCGAAAAACATAAAAACATACTGATTCAAAACTGCATGAGGGTAAATCTGAGAATACAAGTTTATAGCAATCAGTTACTGAAGATTTATTCAGATGTTGAAATATTGAATGCTTCACAAGTCAAGAAGTGAAAAAAACAAAGTTTTCATGTGATGACAATGGATTGTTATATTCCATGCAGCTCCCCCTCATGGAATGGAACGTTCCATTTCTCACCTTAATCTTGTTCTTACCACTGCACTCATAAATATTCATTGTTTGTATATGATCGTTCTATAAATTAGGGGTCCAATTTCTTTTCGTGTCCCTGTCACATCTGACATATTATTTTAGTTATTCAGAACCCATTCTCTGATTTCTGAGAGTGATGAATTGATGCAAAGTACCTGCCCAACAAATAAATATAGTTTAAAATCAATTTTGGTGATATTGCGAAGTCAAAGTGCACAGGTCAGGTGTAACAGGGACAAAAAAAGTCACACTTTTGGACCCCGACTTTGTAGAATTACCCATATAAAAAAACATTTTTGAACTGCATTTCGAGAAATGAATTTTGAAATGTATCGAGGAGAACACCATTCAATTTTTGGTCCTTTCTCGGAACCGTAGCCCTCGTTGTTGGTACTTTTTCACCAGCGTACTTACAGGACGATCAGATCCAGGAATTCGTAGAGTTGTATCCGTCCTGGCTCGTCAAAGTTCTCCTGCATGTGCTTGATGCGGTGCGTCATTTTCATAGGTGCTATGGTGCGGTCACATAGCTAGAGGAGGACGCACAAAACAGCGTCAACCTTGAGGGTGCACATTCATCCTGAGAGCACGGAATGCTTTGAAATGGTCCAGTGCAGAGACATTTTATATCGTAAGCATGTCAACCATTACACACCGTAGGATGTTTAACCACAATCTGGCTTTCGTTACTCACAGGCACGCTGATGGGTTAAACCACCATGCAGTGTTGCATTTGAGTCCTTCGCAAGTCCCAGCATGCCCCTGTAAGTCCGTCACAAGTCATTCAGTCTTGAGCCAATTCGCAAGCTATTCAAATGAGCTGCGACAAAAGCATTCGTTTGTCATTGTTCACTCTGTTACTTATGACTGGACTTTGGAAGGGGCTTGTGAAAGGACTTGTGATGGACTGCAACCATGCACCTCTTGGCTCACCTATGACGTTTGAACACCCTAAAAATTCCCCATTTATTTTGTGAACTCACAAAGTCCGAGAAGTCTTTGGAGTTGGACCATGTGTTGAACTTAACTCGGCCGATGTCCGCAGTAAATATCACTCCACAGGCACTCTCCGGAGCGTTGAAAAATATGTGGTTGTGGTAACAGATATTGCACAGACATGTATGCTGCTCAAATGATTCTTATAATCAGTTCCTGTGGCATGTGGCTGTATATCAAAAGTTGCCTTCTACATTCACAACATTTGCCTGTTTCGGAAGTCAGAATTTAGGGCCAAAATAATACTAACCGCAAGTTGTAAATGAGTGGTGTTGTAGTCTGGGCCTTATACCGGGAGTACATTTTAACTGCCTTTTTGTTCGCTCATCACAAGGGATTTGCGAGTCCTTGATTGGAACACAGTTGCAGAACATGACGTAAGTAAGGGGGGGGAGAAATGTTGGTACCTTGAGGGCTCGTAGCTGCGTGTGGGTGTCTATGACCATGCCTCGCATGTCGCCAGCCTCGTAAACTTGGAAGGCAACCCGGACGTCATTCAGCTCAGAAAAGCTGCGCATATTAACAAAGACAAGTTTCACCTCTGAATAGTCAAGTTTGAGATGAATGTTCAAACATTTGATAATCGACCTAGTGGCTGAATATTTGCATAATCAGCACAGCCCAACTGTTTTGTCATAAATGGATAAAATTCCAACACGACAGCCATTTGCAGGCCTATTAATTTATTCCTGTGGCAAATTATCTTGCTTAAGGACACATGCGCAGGAGAGCCATAGGCTATATTCCAACTCCTTATAATGTGCTGAATTACCAAGAAGATTTAGAGGTCCAGTCACCAGACCACCAGGCCATCACATCCCATGCACAGACTGCTACCACATATATCTTTTAACATACATGTACTTTGGTCATTGAGTAGGGAAAAACTTAAGGACAGATTTCATATGCGTGCATCCATTTTCTTGTATGCTGTGTTTCCACAGTAATAAGTTTAATTCGGACTCATCAAAACTGCAATGCTTGATAACCCCTGAGAAGTCGGCTGTGCCTCGCTCAATTTTTTTTCTGAACTTAGCATGTAAAAACACTCATCTTTATAAATGTGACGTTTGAACTCAATCGACCATATAGATTTGTTTTTACGGTCAACTAAAGTTCAAGGCTACATGCGTGCCAGCCTGTGTGCATCGAGCAGCGCAGTAGAAAAAGTATCAATTTTGGGCTGATGAACCGTCTTGGAAAAAATGCCCGCTGTGCAAGAACGGTGTGTCTGATTTCCGCTAAATGTGTCAAAATGACCACAACAAGTTACTCTAAAACCTACTAAAGCCTCAACTCCTGACACAAATGCACTGCGACCATATCTGGAAAAACATTACATCGCCTTGCACCTTAGCATCAAATGGACATTAATAGGTCTTATCTAAGATAACTTGTAGTTTAATCTGCTTAATACACAGTTACAAGATTGGTAGTTCAGCTGATCAGACTACAAACCATATGATATATTGACCAAAGAGATTGATTTGACCAGGATCTCAGCCATGAATAAACAGAGATCAGTCTGTATAATTTAATACACATCTCTTTTTGGAGGGAGGCTGGGAAGTCACCAAAGCTGACGAATGAAATTTAAAATCAGAGACGGAGAGGAGATCTGACGACGAAATAAAGTACAATAACCTTTCATTTAAGTTCAATCTGGGGAGGACTCACACACATGAGAATATCCATGGTCTCCGTACTTTGCATTAACGAAGGTATCTTTTATTTAAATCCTATCAACAGGTATTTCCTTCGTAACAAAAGACCGATCAAGTAAACCCCGCCACTGCACATGTGGGCGCTCAGCACGCGCTTCTCTCCATTGCTACTTTCTAGGCTCCAACCGCGCACGTCATACGCGCATGAGTGCACGTCGGACATAAATCACGGCTGGGATCGGTCAGGAAACAATGGCGTCAAGCTTAATGGATCGGTCTATTTGATGAGCGGAAGCGATCACGCAGATTGAACGTCTAGAATCATTGCAATGATTAGTATAATAAAAAGGCCAAGTTTGTTCAGGGGATGATGACCCGTGGAAATGTTCCCAATCTATCTGTGACTATTTTGCCGACGGCATCTTTCTTTGCTGCAAAATTAAACGTGAGTTTAACTGAGGCACCGCGATGCAGGCATTTTTACCTGCAGGGGTAGTCAGGTACCTACATGTCAGGTCTCAGTTCTCTAGCCAAGGAACAAACGAGTCTGATTGTCAGCTACCCAGTGTTCCCAGAAAAGGGGCGTTGTTATTACCTCAGTAACCTGTGGTTCAGAAGTTTTAGACTCTTCAGCAACGTGTTTATGTTGTAATCAGCAGTGTGCATGTTGATGGAACGATCTAGTGCATCGTTGAAGTATTTCAGCTCAATCAACTTCAAGATAGCCTGTAGGATCAAAAACAACAAACTGAAAATTAAAAAAGCATTAGCGTGGTGAGATATCCTTTTCATGGTCTCTTTACTGGAGGTATATTGGACGATTTGATCTAACAGAATATTTGCAAACAGCAAGACTTGAATGAAGACACCCTCAGCCTACTTCTACTTACTTCTCCCAAAACACCCACTGCACATGTGCAGTTGCTGTGTGCACACAAAAGCAAAAGCAGCATACACTTGACCGCTTCCTGGTCTCCATTTGTTTTGCGTTTTGCCAGCTTGGCTACAGAGCATTAAGCAATGCATGTTTTGGGGGCCTTCAAGCATTTCTAGACTTAGAAATGACTGTAGCAAATCTTGATCTGGGTGCATGCTTGGGGAGGGGGGCCTGTACCAGCAACTCCATGTTCAGGAGACAGAAATCAGACCTATGTTTCAGACTAGTTTTCCATCAACTGGGACAAAAAATCCTCCAAATCCCCAGATTACAGTGAAATATCTTGCAATTTTACTGGAAGTCGATTTGAAACATCAACTCCAAGTTCAAAACATGCCCTCAGTTCTCCAGCTGGTAACGGACAGAGGACTGTCAGGGTTGAAGGAAGACATGGGGAAGTTTTTTTTTGGGGGGGGTGAATAGAAAATCTTGTGATCACAGATGCGGCAACATGAGCAAACATGATGACCACTGGGCCACCAGCGGCATTTCTCCTGCCTATCCAAGTGTGAGGCGGCCCACCACACTGATTTAAGTGACCACCGTTGAATATTACCACCTCACACTTAAAAAAGACAAAGGTGGAAGGAAAAAGACAAAATTGTTTGGATGTTTGGAAGATCAGTTTCAAATCATTCAGAATAGTAAAGAGGAACAAAGAATGAAAGATTGATTTGAGTCAATTTACTGTTATATCTTGTAGAATTTATTTTAGGCCTTTTTGAAAATGTTCGCTTTTGTTTTAGGTGCTAGAAGTTTGGCAAAATTTGTTTGACTTTGACCACCTGAAACGTATCAGTACCACAGAGGAAACCCAGGGCCACACACTCACCCGCTTCAAATGGAAGAATTTATGAATTATATATTAATCAACCAGGGGAGTCAGGTTAGCGCAGTGGTTCTTTCCTCGCCTTTCACCTCTGCGGTCCGGGTTCCAATCCCGGCCTGGTCCATATGTGGATTGGGTGTTCGGTCCTTACCTGATTCCGTGGGCTTTACCCAGAATATTCCTCAAGCATTTTGATCTCACCTCTAAAACTGTAACTGCTTCTCGTTTGTCTCCTCTTCACAAATTGATGTGATGTTTCCCCTTGGAATGCTTTGCCAATTTTACAATACAGACAGGTGGATAGATGGCGTTGGATAATAGAGATGGCTGTCCAGATCAATGTAATGTGTGACTCGACAACGGCAAAATGTTAACATTTTTTTTACCTTGAGACTGATCCCATCTTGTGTTTTTGTCACCTCCTCCGGAATGCAGTTGGTGATGGTTTCACTGGGAAACTGTGCGAGAGATTGTAAAAATTTGGCAAACAAGATGTACATGGCTTGCAATGCAGAATCATAAAATTACCATGATTTAAAGTTCGACTTAAGACTCGCAAGTAACCAAACAGGAAAAGCTGCAAGGCCTAGAATATTTCAGCTGGATCGAGCTATGGACTAGGCTTACATATGCCTGTGTCTGGGTGTGGCAATTGACTTGTGGCACCTGCTCCAGTATTAATTATGGATAAGTAGTCCTATATGAATATTTGAGAATGGATAGTCTATGTTAGCCTTAGACTAGAGGCGATTTGTAAAGTCTCAGTCTATGTTCAGAGTGGTTGGATGGTGAAAGTTTAACAATAATAAAACACGATGTTAAAAACAACCCTGACGACATACATGTAGCCTAGCCTTGTAAATTTTGATGTACTGTAACGTGGCGCGGCCTCAAACATTGCAAACTTTCATTTTTCGCTTCTGATGTATCAACGGAGCAACATTTGAAGCTCAAATTTCACAATTAGAGACACTTCATCAAACTCCTTTTCGGATTCACAAAGCTCCATTTTACGTACCTGCTTCAAAGTTTTTCTGACATGGGAAATGAACTCTTTTAAACTGTGTGCCCAAAGTAGGAGCAGAACTTTCTGATAACCTTGCAGATAGGAATTTGAGTGGAAGTAGGCCTAGGCTAATTATGCTTTACAAGCGTTGATCAATGTCAAAGGATTTTGTAAATATTTACGTGGGATTTTTTGTGATTTTTTTCAAGTGCGCCACGTTAGGGAACACTCAGCTGAATTTAAGGGGTCAAGACAACTCATCCGTTGGGGCAACTTGACTCAGGTTGTCCGGTTACCAAGTTCAGGTTGTCCGGTAACCAACTTTCCAGATGCCGAAAATTTGGATTTCGAACAAAATTTCATGACACTGAAATCCTTCACAAAGGTTCAACACCAATGCAGTCCTAGGCCTATCACAAAACTAATTACTAGGTCTGGTAGGCCTACGTCTATGAACTACTAGTAGTAGGCTTAGGCCCTACCACTCGTTTTTAACATTGTTTAACCAAATGAGTTTTAAGTTTTTAAGGAAAGAGGTTTGGCAATGCTGTGTGAGCTGGTGAGGAAAGTCAAGTGAACGTCAAAGTGCACCACGTCCTGACGCGTTAGCAGGAAGGCCTATGCCTAACGTTAGGGGACTTTGCTTACTGTAGGCCTTCTACTTTCTAGCTTTGGGCCATGGCCTAGGCTTAAATTTGAACATTAGGGCCTACTAGATGTTTGAATTTGAATCGATAGCATGTCCAGCTTACCCCAAGAGCCCTCGACAAACAGCTGTTGAGAAAAGAGACAGAAGAGTTAATTCTACGACGACTCGAGAACATTTTAATCTATATCTATCCATACCAGAACTGGTCAATACAAAAATTACTGCGATCACATTATTAGCGCACAGTTTATCGTCACTTGGCAACAACACTCACTTACCTTAATTCTTCCCAGGAGTAGAAATCCCGCCTTTTTGGAAACTGTAAATGCATCATCTTGATGCTTCGTTTTCAGGAAATATCTTTATGCTAAAATATCACGTTATATCCATTTCTATACATTGAAAAAAGTCCAGCTTTGCCCAAAATGAAAGAGCTATGGTCTGGATCGGCTCAGAATACGCAGATAGTAATATATTCCTACGTCACAGATATTATAAATAATGCAATAGATGGTTTCAACTTCAATGTGTCAGCCAACAGAGGGCGCTATATTACTTCGTAGTGCTGTGGCGGGGCAGTAAACACAGATGATGCATGCCCGGGTGGCCCCACCTGGACACAGGCATTCATTTGATGCAAACTACGGGACAGGGAATCCCCCGCCTTTATTTGGGTTGGTCATTGTTATACTGGTATCTCAGGAATTCTTTTCAGACATCTAGGGGGAATGTGTTAAGTAACAATAGTCTGGAATGTGTCTAGGGATTGGACAGGTAAGGGGGGTACCCCTCCGTCCCATATCTTGCCTGGTATACCTGCTGTACAAACACTTTAAGGTCTGTGAACTCACCCTCGACATGTCTGAACAAGTACATTGTAATGGGCAACTGGAGTGATTATATAATAAACAAAAATAGATGAGAAAAATATACTGACGAGTGGTTGCGTTCAAGATGTGTTTGTTGCCAAAAGACTTTTCATAAAACAGTTGTCCCTTGTTTGAGGGCACTCTAGGTGGTCATTTCTTCCCCCGACCAGAGGCAAACTGAGAGAAGTTCCTCTCCGGTAGGCGAACTGAAATGAGAAACCGTATAAAATTTAGAAAGCGAAACGGTAAAGATGTCAGAAAACAGCTCTTTCTAACTTTCCTTGTTCCCGGGGTTTACGCGGAAAGTCTTACATTATAAAAACACGAGGTTTTTACAGCCAACAATCTTGGATATAAACATGTAAGTGGAATCATGGCAAGAGGCCAGTGTGTTTGGTGAGCAACTTTAAGGCAAATTTAACCTCTATCCTATCGATGGCTGTTTTCATCAGTCTTATGGCAGTGAACCAACCTAATACGGGGTTTGGTAAGGCAGAGAACCAATCTTCCCAGTCATTGACCGTAACAATTTTGATCATGAACAGTTTGGGGCTTCTTACTTTTGTTCTATAAGACTTACATTATTTGAAAGAACTTAGCCAATTTCGTGTGACTATAATACGGAAGAAATTTCTCTGCAGTGATGCTCATGCATAGGCTTCACTGTCTGCATATTGATTATCATTGCACTGCAACAGAAAGCGCAAACATCTGCATTTATGGCAGCAGCGTTTCCGGCTTTTGGTGTGGGGGGGGGGGGCAAATTCAAATTAGAACGCAGCTTCGGGCTCATTCAACATGATGTCGGGGAGAAAAAATATCAAAAGCCTTACTCACGGCCCCCAAATTATTGCTTTTATTTCATGGTGTTGTTTCTTAGGGTTTTGGTGTTAATATTTGATAGAGGTGGCAGCAAATCATTTTTTTGCAAGTCCAAGTCTAGTCACAAGTCAACTGGTCACAAGGCAAGCCAAGTCAAGTCACAAGTCATTAGGTCCGGTCACAAGTCAAGCCACAAGTCACTTTGTCACAGGACAAGTCAAGTCACTTGGTCACAGGCCAAGTCAAGTCACTTGGTCACAGGTCAAGTCAAGTCACAAGTCATTATTTTGGTCTAAACGTATAAGTCAAGTCACAAGTCTCTTTGTACAAGTCAAGCTGCACATTATTTTGTCCAAATGTTGTGAAGCAAAACGAACCAGGCGTTAACTTATGAAGTTACGAGTTATGAATTTCGGACAGCTGAACACCTTTTCTCCAATTATTCTGACAATGCCCCCGTAATTCCCCCTTTTCACTTGTGTTGTAATTACTATTCCTGCAGTTTATCTCATATCTGTCGTATATTGGATCCCTGTTTTGTTTAATAAAATACTTTGCAGGGCGGAAATAAGCGTCGAGATGAAATAATGACATATTGAGGGCGCTGTTTATCCTAGTCATCTGTTAACGCAACGCATTGTAGCAGCATGATATGCATGCTCCCCTGATCTACAGCTGAAGCTGGGTGAAGTAGAAGCCGCACAAGCCGAAGTCCATTTTTTATGTAGGGCGTGAACTGAATAGCTTATATGGGACCGGTCGAGTAGCGTGCGACTTTGATTGGTAACAAGTCATTTATTGCAAGTCCAAGTCAAGTCACAGGTCAAAGCTGGTATTTACAAGTCAAGTCACAAGTCACAAAAATAGTCACTCGAGTACGGCTCGAGTCCAAGTCACATGACTCGAGTCAGCAACTCTGATATTTGATACATAAAACACCAATTACTTTCTTACCTATACTCACCTGAGAAGTATTCTTACTACAAAAAGGGAAAAAAAGTCTGGTGAAAAAAATCAGTCAGAGGCCGGGGCAAGTCGCCCTCCCCCCGATACGCCACTGATTTATGGTAATTTTGTACAAAAGGGTTGTATTATTTTTCGTTAGTTGAGGCTACAATTTTATGGTCCTGTCATATATTTTTAATAAACAGGGAACCAGTTTATCGTGGCGTAAGGAATAACATTTTTAACTAACTCCTTTGTTTGGAGCAATTTTTGTTTGTGTGATTTGTAAAGACGACATTTAGTAGATTGTTTACTTTCCTTGTTAAGTTGTTTCCAACAGCACAAGAAACGTGTAATCGAAAATACTGTTGTGAATTTATCACGGTGAAATGAGCCAATAGCGTGTTTCCTTTCATGCGTCCCGCGCAAGGATCAATCAATTGCCTCTCGATTTGACCTCACTCGTGATTGGCCAGGCGTCTACGTAAACAAACGCCTGGGCGAGTCAAAGGGTTTCCCCGTAAACTGCAATGGACTTGCCAGTTTGACTCCCAAAAATGGTGGGGTCGTTTCCTTTTAAGGGGGCGGCAGGGGGAATCCCGTGCCATATATGGCATGGCGTACGTGTGCTACGTGTATGGCGCAGGCCACGCTGGAAACGTGCTACGATTGCTCGCCTTGCGTGGCGCACGTTGCACATGTGCGAACTATCGGCATAATAATCTTTACACGAGCTCTAGACACATTGAATGGGGCCATGGCCCGTCAACACTCACTCCCCAAATGTAGAACGTTCCAGGTTAATCCGAGGGAAAAATTGTATTGTTCGACACTTCGTCTGCACACGGAGGCGAGGGGAAGTGATCTGTGTGGGCGATTCGATCACAGCACGTCGTAATTGCGGCGACATCATTTCATACAAATTGCGTTGGAAACCCATAATATGCGGCGTCGTTTTTGATTCACCCCCGCCGTGCGGAGAACGCCGGTGAGTACATCACAGATAACTAGTATTAAATATCGCCAACTATAAGTAGACTCCTTCGGGTCGTCGTTCCACTCCGATTACATCGATAGATAGCTTCGATAGCCGACTACAAGCAGACGAAAACACACTAAGAAAAAGATACTTTTCCAGGGAGAGTGTTACAGCGAAACCTCAGAGCGTACACACAGACCTGTTTTACATACAAAGTGTGGACATTACTTTGTTCTCCTGTGGTTAAGGAAACTTGAGAAAAATGCTTCTTTTTCACTAACTAGGATAACTCCTTCGAGCTGGATTTTTTATGATGATTTCCTGGACTGTTCCTCTTCATTTTGCCACGGATAACCTTGACCCCAAAATGCCTCTGAAGGGGGAAACATTGCGTGGACGTGTGCGAGTCCACACAGCGCCATCGCACCCTACATTATGTGGACTTCTTTTGTGCAGAGGTCCACACTATGTATGCCACGCATGTATACAAATCTTTACAGTGGTCTGCACTGTACGATTAACAGAGGAGTTACGATTTTCCCCCTTTTTTGACAGAAAAAGGCAAGTGATCCACATTTTTAAACGAAATGCCTGAAAGGTATCTATATCATAACGTACTCGTTGCCATCAGTTGGAGTCGAATTTCGTGGGAATGTGTAGCCTAGTGGTTGTACAGGGCAGTGGAGTTTCGATTTAGTTAGGGTTCGAATCCAGCGGCTGGTGACCTAGCTCGGGCGAGTCACTGTACTTCGATTACTCGTGCTTGTCCCTCTCATCACTGGAGTGTGAACGTATGGGTACCTGACGGCTCTGATGGTTGTGCTTGGCATCTGCACCGGAAAAGGCAGCCGTCAAAGCCGTATGGAGGTTTAGTGGAAATTGCACAGTTACACTGATCACAAAGTTAACAAAAAGATACCGATCACAAAATGAAATTTGAAACATGTTAGGTACGTAGTGCCGTTGCCTTTTTATTCCACTTTTATGTTTGAAAAACCCCTTTTTGTATTTTCTCTTTGTTTACGAATTTGTTATCTGTTTCTGAAATACTGTATATGAGCGAAGCCTTGTTTCTCCGAACACGCAGGGAATAGAATTTGTTCATTGAACAATTAGGAAACTCTGTCTGTCCGGCCATCCCGTTCAACTACAAGTCGCAGGTGCTTTTGTTTGAAATCCGCGCACTGTCTCACACGCGCTGCCCCGGTCGTCATGACCTACAATAGTCATTGCAAATGCATTGCGACGATTAGGCCTATATAGGGTGAGTGCACTTTATACACGTGTCGATACAGGGGAGAAAAAGTGTAAACGTTGACTAACACGTCTTAATTAGAATCCAGTTGTTTCAAGTGGTGCCTTATTTACAAGGCTATCCGAATTTTTGCTTGAGGGTATAATTTTTTTATTCGCTGAGCATGAATCTGGGTCAGAAAAGCTCAGCTCAGAATCTTACCTCGAGCGACGTGCATGTATCACAGGTCATGCGGGGCATTTTGGACGGATACAAAACTTGTGAAGCCATTTGTTGGCTCAAAAACTGTGTGCCTTTTTTTAAGTGACAGTAGGACTGAAGATTATCTATTTACGAGTTTCGATGTTGCTATGGTGACTCAATTTTTAACCATCATTTCTGACGACCTTCCGAAAAGGGCCTTTTAGGAAGCGACATTCCAGAACCTTTTCAACTAAATCGTTTCCCATGCAAAGTTTTTCATCAAATAGTGAGGCTTTCCAAAATTGAAAATGGACATTAACGCTCGCCCCGTCCCGAAAAGGTAGCCATGAAATGCGTCTGACCCACGCCGATGTGACATTTACGAAAGATTTGGGTTTTTTTTCAACCCTCGTAGGTCGAATTTTTCAAGTGCAAACCGTT